GTGGTGGCTGAGAACTTTGATGAAATAGTTAATGCTCAAGACAAAGATGTCCTGATAGAGTTCTACGCACCATGGTGCGGCCACTGCAAGAATCTGGAGCCTAAATACAAAGAACTGGGGGAGAAGGTAAGTCTGAGACTCTTGCAAATGTGAGCTAGAATTTTGCAGCACTAAATGATCCTGCAGGTTCTTTCTAGCTTCTGTGATAATGGGGAGTAATTGTGCCTTCCTAAGGACTACAGATTTTGGTCTCTTTGCAGAGTGCAGATACCTTGCAGCAGGATCTATGGTAGCAACCACACCTGGTTTATTTAGTCTGTGTTCTTGGCTAGGGCACTGGAATATTCCCTGATTCAATGACTGGCCTCAACTGCCCAAATTTCATTTTGGATCTTTTCCCTCTGCACTATGATAGTCTCCCATGTAGTGAGGGTTGGTGAAGTGGCATTCCCTGTGCACTGTCCTCCAACACCACTATCCCAGATCATGCTGACTGCTGGGTTCCTGGATTTTGGAATTGGTTACTGATGGGTTCTTTCTACCCACAGCTCAGCAAAGATCCCAATATCATCATTGCCAAAATGGATGCTACAGCCAATGATGTGCCTTCTCCCTATGAAGTCCGAGGGTAGGTCTGACTGCTGTGACACCACATGTCAGTGTGTGAGTCCATCTCTGTCTGACTTTGTGCACAGCTCACTGAAGAGCTGAAAGAGCCTCATGGGGAAGGATGTGGGGGTTGCCAGGCAGTAATAGCTAGATGCTGGGCAACAGCTTGATGTGGAGAAATCAAGAGTGACAACAAAATACATTTATCTGCCTGGCTTCTCCAGGATTCTGATGTCCTGGCTCTGCCTGGAGGTCTGTCCTGCTGCTTTGGGATGTGCTGAGATTCTGTTCCTGGCAGTGTGAAAACAAATCTCGGCTTGCTATTCCAAAAGCAGTTCAGCTAGCAAACTTGAACCAGTGAGCTCAGCCAGATCTGTGGGTGTGGCCGGGCTCTTGAAGGCCACGCCTGGTTCCTCAAAGCCCCAGAAGCTGTGCCATGTTAAACCAGGGCAGTGTGGGATGCGAGTCCCTTTAGTTGGGACTGGTCTGATAGAAATGAGAATATCTCAGGAGCTTATGTGTTTCTTCTCTCTCTCTCTCCAGTTTCCCCACTATCTATTTTGCTCCAGCTGGCAAGAAGCAGAGTCCAAAGAAGTATGAGGTGAGTATTTTACTGTTCTTGATGCTTTGTAAAGAGGTGAAGTGTGTCCAGGTGCTCTAATTATACTCAAGCCTCTGGAGTTGGGGGTGTCACTGTGTTCTTGTTACCCCGAGAGCACACCTCACGGTACCTACCGGGAGTGTTGTACTTTGTGCTGCAGGTCCTGAGGAGAATTATGCTTGCAGTCACCTGGGTGTCCTGCCAGGCACCTCTCCCCCCTTCAGGAGAGGGGAAGCCCATGGTGGGTACAGGCCCTGCCTGACTGTCACTTGCTTTCTGCAGGGGGGCAGAGAAGTGAGTGACTTCATCAGCTACCTAAAGCGGGAGGCAACCAACACTCCCGTGCTGCAGGAGGAAGAGAAATCCAAGAAATCCAAGAAGAAGGTGAAGGAGGATTTGTAAAATACCTACTTACCACCTTATCAGGATGAGCTCTGTGTGAATTGGGGAAGCACTGGTCAGACTGGGGCCAGTCCTGGGCTGTGGAGAGCCAGTGGCCATGTGGGCCGAGGGGCCCCAGCTGCTGTATCTAGTAATGTTTAATTTCCTGCCGTCTCTTAGCTGCACTGTTGTGGGGCTCCCCAGGTTTGTTTTGAGGTTTGGGAGGGGGTGGGGGTACAGTTATTTTCTAATTTTTTTTGTACATTTGGAGAAGTGAAACAATAAAATGACCCCCTTAAGACCAAGTGTCCTTGTCCTAGCGCAGCCCATCAGACCTAACAATGGGATCCTGCTCTTCATAGACAGCAGCTTCCTGCTGCAAGTTGTTCCCTGCCACGGCTTGCTCCCACCAGCAGAAGCACTGAGGACACTGGCTTTCAGGAACCAGGACGGTTCCTGGTCCCCCAATACATTCATGCCCGCACTGGCTTCTCTGGCTGTCTCTTTGATCCCCTAACCCCGACTTGCCCAGGGGACCCTGACCCATATGGTTTCCCTCGGTCTCGGGAAGCCTTGGCTCCCCTGGGCCGTGCAGTTCCCTCATTCACTCCCCAGCTGCCTTGGAAGGGATCAGGGGCGCCGGTGAGTTCTGCCAGTGTCCGATTCCCCCCCCAGCCGCCTGCAGCCCTGCACTGCTGAGAGCTGCAAGTGCAGAACGCTGAGCCAGAGGCCCGGCCTGCAGCCTCGGTACCGGAGCACCCGGCCACGGCATTGCCCGGACCGCGCGACGGCGGCGGGCGGGTGGGCCCGAGGGGCAGCAGCGGGAGGGGCGGGCGGCGGGAGCCCGCTGGCGAGGCTCGCCCTGGGCCAGCTATTTTTGCCGCCGGCCCGGACTAATCCCCTGAAGCCGCTTCCTGGCATTAGGTAACGGCGCGGCGGCATGCGCTCCGCGGTGTCCCCGGCCCGGGCGACCCCCGGCAGTCGCGGCGCGGCGGGACCGGCGGCGACACGCCCGGTGCGGGCTGGGGGCCGTGGGCACCCGCCGCCGAGCCCCGGGCGGGCCCGGACCGAGGCCAGCAGGTAGCGGCGGGCGGCGAGGAAGGTCGGGGACGGACATGCCGGGCCCATCGCCCGGCGGCTCCCCGGAGAGGGAAACAGGGGCGGGCGGGCGGCCGCGGAGACCCGGCCGGGACCGGCGGGTGCGGTTCCGGCTGCCTCACACCGCCATCGTGGTGCCGTCGGTGCGTGAGGAGGAGCGGCTCTTCTACCGGCGGCTGGAGGCCCTAGCAGTGCCGGGGCCCGGCGGCTTCGGGCCGCTTTTCGTTTCCGACGGGTGGAGCGACTTGACGGGTGAGCGCCGGGCCGGCGGGCCGGGCTAGGACGGCCGGTACCGCGGAGAGTCGGGAAAGGGGCGCCAATTGCGGGGCTCCCGGCTTGGCTCTCAGCGCCTCCTTCCCCGCAGAGGACCGGCTGCTGCGGAAGCGCGTGGTGCGGGCCGGGCCGGGCGGGTCGCGGCCCTTGCCGGGCCAGGAGGTGTCGGTGAAGGTGCTGGGCGCCCTGGAGGACGGCGGGCTGGTGGAGCGGGACCCGCGGCTCATCTTCGTGCCGGGTCACGGGGACGTCGTGCAGGTGAGCCCGAACCAGTGCGCGGTTCAATGCTGTGCGGGTCGGCGCCGCCCAGGGCTCCGACCCCCCAGCCCCGCCGTGCCCGTCCACAGGCTCTGGAGCTGGGCGTCCCCACCATGCAGCCCGGGGAGATTTCCTTCTTCCTCGCCGCTTTCCCCTACGCCTATGGCCGCCCGGGCAGGTAGGGCGGGCGGGCAAGGAAACCGAGCGGGCGGGGACTGGAGCAGGCAGGGGGCGGGAGGGAAGACGGACCGGGATGGGCAGACAGCAGGGACAGGCGAGGACAGGAGGACCAGAGCCGGTGGGACCGGCAGGGCAGGGGTCGGGGCCAGCCGGTGCTGTACCAGCAGGGAGCCTGACGTGCCACCCGAGGCACCGCTGCTGTTCGAGGTGACGCTGCTAGAGGTGCGGGACGGTCCCGACCCCCAGCCACTGCCGCCCGCCGTTCGCCTGCGCCTGGGCTCGCAGCGCCGGGAGCGGGGCAACTTCCACTTCTCCCGGGGTGACTTCGCGGCGGCGCTGCGATCGTACCGGCTGTCCCTACGCGCCCTGGACGGCCCCACCACCGGTATCGGCGAGAGACTAGACGGGAGAGAGGGCCCGGGGCTGCCGGGCTGGGACGCTGAGGTCGCCACTCGCCCCGCAGCTCCGCCCGGGCCCGAGGAGGAAGAGGAACTGCGGGAGCAGCGCGTGAAGTGCCTCAACAACTGCGCGGCCGCCGAGCTGAAGCTGGGGCGGGCGGAGGAGGCGCTGGCAGCCTGCGAGGCGGCCCTGCGGATCAGCCCCGACAACAGCCGGGCGTTGCTCCGGCGCGGGCAGGTGGGACTCGCATCGCCCCACACCGCCCCTCTCCCCTCGGCCCGGCTGTCGAGCTCCCCTCCGCTCCTCTCCCCGCAGCTGCTGGCAGAGCAGGGCCGGGACGCAGAGGCGGCGCTCATCCTGAGGAAAGCCCTGGAGCTGGACCCGGCCAACAAGGTGTGGGAGGCGGTGTGCGAGGGCGGGCGGTGGTCCCGCAGGACCTGGTAGCAGGAGCGATGGGGAGGGAGAGGATCCCGCAGGAGCCGGTACTGGGACGGTCGGATGTCCCACCGGCGCCCTGCCCACCGCAGCCGCCCCTTGCCCGCAGGTGATCCACACCGAGCTCTCACGGCTGGCGAAGCGCCAGAGCCCCTCATCCAGCACCGCCCCGCAGAATCCCCACCGCGACCCGATGCCGCCGCCGAGCCCTGCGTGCGTAGGCAAATCGGGCCGTGCAGGAAGGGATACCCGTCCCGCATCCTCTCGGCCCGGATGGCGCTTATTGCTGTCTCTCCCCGTAGATCCCCCGCACCGTCCGCGGCGGAAGGAGCGCTCTGAGCGGCTCCGCAGCGCCCCAGAGCCTAACCAAGGAGATAGAAGAGCTCTCATACCGCCCTCCCCGCATCACCGCACAGTGCCTGGGGTGGCGAAGAACTCGGCGGGGGGAGGGCTGAGGGAGGAGCGGGGAACGAGGAACGGGGTCCCGCCCCCGTCCCGCACCGCCCTCCCCGCCTGGCAGAGCTCCCCGCACGCCTCGTGACGTCACGGCGGGGGGCGGCTCCCTCCACGCACCCTGGCGCGCGGGGGCGGCTGCGGCGCCTGCGCCCAACCTTCCGGGTTTTTCGCCCCCGCCGGCAGAAGGGAGGCCATAGCCCGCGGCCAATCAGGCGGGGCCTTGCCGGGGAGGCGCGCCAATGGGAGCGTAGCGGGGGATGGATCGGCGCAATGATTGGCTGTGGCGTCCCTTAAAGCGCGGCGCGGGGCGGGGCGTGGGGGGGGTCAGTGCGGGACGTGGCGGTGGAGTGGAGGTGGGAGGGAGCGGCGCCATGACCCGTGAGTTGGGGGGGAAGGAAGGAAAGAAAGCAAAGGGGCTGGGGCTGAAGCTGACGAGTGGGGTCGGCCGGGGCGATGGAGGATTGTTCTGGGACCCAGGAGTGCGGTGGGGCCGGGGTCAGGTCATGATCCGCCGGCGACGCTGGGACCCGCCTTGCGGGCAGTAGTCGGGCCGGGGTGTGGGGGGGTGGCCCTGTAAACGGGGCCGGGCCGGGCCGCGCTGAGGCGGCCGCGCTTTGGCAGGCGGGAACCAGCGCGAACTGGCGCGGCAGAAGAACCTGAAGAAGCAGAGCGACTCGGGCAAGGGCAAGCGGCGGGACGACGGGCTCTCGGCTGCCGCCCGCAAGCAGAGGTGAGCGCCGGGCCGGCCCTGCCGGCTTCCCCCGCCCCGCTCCCTGCTCGCGCCCCGCGGCGGTGCCGGCCCCGCCGCCAGCCCCGCCGCGCTCCCCGCAGGGACTCGGAGATCATGCAGCAGAAGCAGAAGAAGGCTGACGAGAAGAAGGAAGGCAACAAGTAGCGGGCGGCCGCGCTGGGCTGCCGCCCCAGGGCCGGTCCCACTGGCAGGATGCCCCGCGCCGCCCCAGGCCGGGTCCCGCCGGGACCCCCGGCATCGCCCCGCGCCCTGCGGCGCCGTCCCCTATTAAAGTAGCTGTGGAGCCCTGCACGCTGCGTCTGCTCGTCCGTGCGCCGTGCGGGGGGTGGGCGAGCATGGGTACTGCCGGCGGAGCAGTCGCGTCCGCGGGGAGAAGGACCGAGCGCGGCCGTGGCAGAGTCAAGCGGCGGCATCCTGACGGTGAGGAACAAAGGTGGGGTCGGGCCTGGGCGGTCCTTGGGGCAGCACGCGGGGATCAGCGCCGGGGGCTGAGGGCCGAACGTCCCGAGGCGGGTGGGAGAGCTGGGAGCCTCGGGGAACGAAGCTGGACGGCATGGCGCTGGAGCGGGCCGGGGCGCAGCCTGGGCTCGGGGCCGGTCGGAGGGCGGCGGTGGAGAGATGGCGGCCGGGCCTGCGCGCCGGGGAAGAGCCGCGCTGCGGCACGGCCGGGGCGGGCCCAGCTGTAGTGCCCGTCCGGCAGCAGCGCGGAGCCGGCCTTGTGGCGATGCGGTCCAGCCTAGGGCTGAGGCCGGTGCCGATCGGCCTCCTCACCTCCCTGCAGGGCCGGAATGGTGGCGTCAGCCTGACCCGGGTCCCGCGGCAGCCTGGGTTCCTCACCGAGCCAGATGCAGCACCGCCTCCACCTTCGTGCCGTCCTTGGCGCTGGACTCGCAGAACACGCAGCTGTGGGCCTGGGGCTGGCAGTGGGTGTCAGTGGGGCCCTGCTTACACCGGGGGCCCTGAGGAGCTGCTGCTCACCGTGGCCAGCTGCCTGTGGTCTGTGGATGCCCTCGACCAGGCCACAGGTCCGTCTTGTTGCCCACCAGCATCAATGGCTGTAACTGCTCGATGTCCTGCAGCACAGAGGGGTGGCATGCGGCTCTCTGGGGCTGGCAGCCTATGGCCACATTGTCTGCTTCCCATCATGCCTATGCTGAGCCTGAGAGCCAAATGCAGTTCCAGGTCTGATAGAAACACCAGGAAAAGGGAAAACCTTGAGGGGAGCACTCTCACTTTTCCTGGAGAGTTTCCCCTTAACCAGGTGTGGGGGAGCACCTGGGCTCAGCCCAAGGTGGGTTGTGCGAGCAGCAGCCCTGGGCAGGTGCACATTCCTGGTTGTCCTGGTGGCTGCTCCCCTGCCACTGCATGGCCATGGTAAACCATCCTGATGTACCTCGTGAATGCCCCGTTCACTGCCATCTGCAGGTCTCCAGTAGGGAGTCAGCATCCTCTTAGCAGGGCCTCATGACTCCTGCCTGAGGCTGGCACAGGGGCTGTGAGGGGCTGGAGCATCTGGGGAGCCCGAAGGACACACGGTGTTGCAGCAGTTGCCAGCGAAGGGCCTGAAGGGCCATGCCAATGGCTGTGGGCAGGCTGCCCAGTGGCCTGTGCTTGCAGCAGGCATGAGCAAGGCATTGTTTCCCCAGAGGACAGCCGGCACTGCCTGCAGCACGGGGGTCTGGCAGAACCCTCAGGCCGGGATCTGCAGAGTGCTGCTGACTCGGGGTGTTTCCCAGGGCTTGCACCCCTTCTCCCCATGCCCATGGCATCACCTTATGCAGGGCAAGGGCTCAGTTCAGAGTTTTATATAAAAAATGTATTGAAGCAGGTATTTACAATGAATGTACCGTGGCAGTGGCAGCCAGGGCAGAGCCCTGCTCCCCCAGTGAGGCCAGGGCAACCAGGCTGCAGGCTGAGCACCTGCCACCAGCTTGCTCTGGCTCTTAGGGTGGCCCTGGCTCAGCACAGGGCCAGTATGCCTGGGAACATCCACCTCCCATGCTCCCCTCACACTCTCAGGTGCTGCTGTCTCCTGGGTCAGGGGAGGCCAGGAGGACCAAGCACGGCCAGGGCACAAGCACAGCAGGGACCAGCCCTGGGCAGTTTGTCCTAGCAGGGACTATGTTGAGACGTTGATGCGCTGTGGAGCACGACGGCGCCGCACGATTCGTGGTCCAGTACTGTGCCGGTGCTGTGGGGAGCCATGGAGGCAGAAGGGGCTCAGCAGCAGCCACAGGTAGAGCAGGACACAAGCCCAGCACGAGGACACCTTCACCCAGAAGGTTGACCAGCTGCCGTGTGTGAAGGTGGTCTCCAGCACCGCATTCTCATAGCTGGTGGGAGAGGAGAGGACTGGTTGCCCAGGGGATGCCAACACAGGGGGTTCCAGTGCCAGCTGCAGCCACCAGGTCACCGTGTCCCAGTGGCCACGTGTCCCCGGGCATGTCCTGTCCCTTCTGCCCTCCAGCCCTTCTTACTGCGCTGCACAGCTGCCACTGGAGCAGTGCAGGTCTGTGGGCACAGAGCCCTGAGCATCCCCAGCAGGTGCCAGCTCGGTGATACCATCAGAGCCCGGCACAGAGGCTTGGAGTGAGAGCAGGGAGGGCTGGGCAGCAGCACAGAGCCCTACCTGAACCAGTTGGTGAGTGTCATCATAACATAGAGCGAAGCAAGGAAGAAGACAAAGTGGAAAGCTGAGTAGCTGTAGACCACCCGGTCCTGCTCATCCTGGATGATGAACTGTCCTCTGGCACTCTCCTCTACTTGCTCACATGCCTGGTCGGTGCCTGGGGGAGTGTGGGGGCATGGCACTCCCAGGCTGGGACACAGACTGCCCATTCTCCCACACAGACACTGCACTCACCTCTCAGCTCCTCCTCCATCTTCTCAGGGCAACAGAAGCAACAGGAAGGTTTCTGCAGGGAGAGCAGAGTGGTGACTGCCCAGCCCTGTGGCCACTGTGACCAGGCTGAGCCCTGCCTGATTGCTAGGGCAGGTGGTGTGGGCAGCCCTCTGTGCTTGGCTAGACAGACTTGCCCCTCTCTGGGGCTGGGACAGGGCCTTGAGGTGGTGACTCTGGGGTGCCTGTAGCAGGAGGACGTGGAGAACAGCTGCACCCATACTCACTTTAAACTCAAAGCTGTAGACTTTGACCATCCAGAAGGGCCCAAAGACCTCAGCAAGGTATGAGGCTTCATTGCTGTGCACAGGAGATAGGTAGAAATCATAAAACAGGCACCCATCACCCTGTGCTAGGCTCCCAGGCTGCCCCGTGGATTCCCAATGGTCACGGAAGCTCTGCTATGCTTCCCCTGTCCACCCGCCAATACCCCAGCTGCTGTTGTCCTGCCACCCCTCGGGATAGCCCTGGCACCCCGCGTGGCTGTGCCCGGGCAGGGTACACGCACCATGCGAAGAGCACGCAGGCGTACATGATAGCAGCGCCCAGCACGGCGACCGTGGTGTCCTCTGTCTGCAGCTCATCCTGCTGCACCCCCGGGAAGCACACAGTGAGGTTCTGCCCCTTGTACAGCACTGCAGGGAGGTGGAGGTGAGAAGGGCATGCATCATGGCAGGGACTGCTGGTGGTGGACAGGGACACTCACCTCTCTCTGGGGGGCGGCTGGACAGTGCAGAGAAGGTGAGGTACATCACATAGCAGCTGATGATCGAGGACTGCAGCAGCCCTGACCGCGGCTGCTCTGCAAGAGTGGGCACAGAGGTGTTACTAGAATTCCTGGAGTGCCATGTGGGGCAGGTGGGGCTCTGAGTGGGCCCTGGGCAGTCCCCTCCTGCCACTCTCCTGTCCAACACCTTGTGCCAAGGTATAGGAAGGGCCAGTGGGAACCCTGGGGAGCTAGGTTCTCCTCTAGTGCCCAAGTGCTGGCCCTGAGCTGAGGCCCACAGTCACCCCCAGCCCAGGACACAGCTGACCATGCAGCATGGCAGCCCCCACCATGCTGTGCTGTGTGATACTCACTGAGCCGCACACATGGTGTGATGGAGATGAAGGACATGATGCCACAGAGGCTGCCATTGATGGCAAGCAGCGCTTTGTTGAGGTGGCAGGCAGCTGGGTGGGTGTAGAACTTGTAGAGGAAGGAGAAGGCGCCAGAGGCAAGGATGTAGAAGGTGGCCGTGGCCAGCAGCACGGCCAGATACCAGCGCTTGTCCTGTGCAGCACCTGTCAGCCTGCAGAAGAGTGGATGAGTGGTGGCAATGGGCAGGTACCCACCCGGCACCCCAGCACTCACCAGTTCTTGTTCCAGGTGTGTGCAAAGGCTGTGATCAGCACCAGCTGGATGAGGATGAAGGCAAAGCCCCCACAGACACCTGTGTAGTGCCAGACTGGGGGAAGAGGGCAGAGGTAGAGATGGCACAGGGCAGGCAGGGGCCAAAAGGGGTGCCCAGGGTGCCAGCTCAGACGGGGAGGGAGGGGACAGAAATACCTCGGATGAAGTTGTCCTCAGGGATGAAGAAACTGGCGGCCCAGAGGCCCATCAGCACCAGCAGCTTCGGGAGCCAGAACCTACAGGGCAGTTAACATCGGTAGGACAGAGCCCTTGACAGCCCCATCCCAGGAAACCCTGTCCCAGCCCCATGGCCCATCCTTACCCATTGTGGAGCTGTGCACGGCGGTCAGAGCTGGAGCGCACGTTGAGCAGCAGGGCAGCCTGTGCCAGGTGGAAGCAGGCAGTGCCAAAACAGACCCGGTACACGGCCGAGGAGCCCACCAGCTGCTCACAGTCTGTGCCCCCAGGCAGGTGTTGGCACAGCACCACTGAGAAGGGCACCTGGCAGGCACAGTGGTTGATGGGACAGGGCTGCTGGTGTGTCCAGCCAGCACCCCCCAATGCCCACGGCATCCAGCACATCCAAACCTCAATACTCCCACCATCCCCAATACCTTCCCCACTACCCTGGGACCCCCAGCACGCCAGGCAAATCCTGCATCTCAGGCACTCCTTGACCCTGGGCACCTCCAGCACTCTTGGCACTCCCAGCAGCTCTATTACTATCCCAGCATCCCATTATCCACAGGATTCCAGTACTCTTGACGCCCCTGGCAATTCAGGCATACCCAGTGCTCCCCTCTATACCCCTAGGTGTCCTGAGGTGCCTGGCACCCCAGTACCCCCAGAACTCATGGTACCCTTGAGATCTCCAGCACCCTCGGGACCCCCAACACTCCCAGTACCCTGGGTGTCCCAGTTCCCTCTGTCACCTTCTCTGTGATAGCCTGGGCCACAGTGCGGGACATCATGAGGCAGCACACGGCAGAGGCCAGGACGTGCAGGAGCGTGTAGAGGATACGCGTGCTCGTGGACACACGGAGCCCGTGACAACCGCAGCAGAGCTGGGGAGGGGCATGGTCAGTGGGGATCCCAAGGGGCCAGCACTGCTCCCCAGCCTGGCCCAGCACACCCTGCCCACACAGCCCCACTCCCACCCAGGCTCCCAGCCCCGCCAGACCCCAAGTCCCACCTGGAAGAGCAACGGGTGCAGGAAGTGCCCGCGTGCCGCTGTGCCCGCCATGGCCCAGCTCAGCTCTGCTCAGCCCCCGCGGCGTTGATGGGATTAAGGGATTGTCAACTCGGCCCGCCCTGCCATCTGCTCACAGTTCCCTCCAGGCAGCCACCCCTGGGGTGCTCCATGGGCACTGCCCAGTGACTCCTGGCCATGGGCATCCCTGCCCAGACTCCGGTCCCTCCTTGGGCAGGGCGAGGCCCTGGAAGGTGGCCTGGACATGAGCTTGCATGAGGGGCACATGGGGTCTGCACACGATGTCTTCCTGATCCCAGAGCAGTACCATACAGCCGTGTGGAGGGGCTGGGGGATGTGGAGTAGCCACGGGCACAGAGGCACCCAAGGGACGTAGGTACCTCGCTGGCTAGCGGAAGCACATCCAGTGGGTAGCAGGACGCCCCACGACCGGCAGGAGCTGGGGACAAACAAAGGGATGTAGGAGGCTCTGCACTGAGGCTGGCATCAACTTTCTTCAGCTGCTCCACAGCCATTCAGGCTTTGTGCTGGCAGAGCCCTGACACGGCGGATGCCGCAGCCGCAGCACAGATCCCCCGTGTCCCCCGCTACCACGCACAGCCCGGCCCGGGGGACGCGGTGTCCCCATGGCGGGGGTGGGTGACATGTGAGACGCGTGCGCCAAGGGAGCGGCGGGGGCGGGCACGGGCTGCGGTACATCCTCCGCCGGGCCAGCACCGGGGCACGGGAAAGCACGGCCACAGCCCAGCCCCGAAGCGACCGGGGACCCGGCCGGGGCCGCGCTGCGGCCTGCCTCGTCCGACCGTCTGTGTAGCGGCGCCGGGAGCCACATGGGGGTCGCTGACCCGGCAATCCCAGTTTACCGCCAGCGGGCACTCGCGGGCAGTGGCACGGCTGCGCCTGGCCGGCCTGGCTCCGCGCCTCGGCAGCGCCGGCGGCCCGCTGCTATCGAGCGGCCCGGGAGTGCCGGCACTGCTAGCTCTGGCCTACCCGGAGCCCCGGGAGCGCAGACCGTGACCGCTCGATGGGACCGGGCCTGGCGGCGGGCCCAAGCTGCGGGCCGGAGTTGGCCTCGCCCGCGCTCGGTTCTGGCGGCGCGCACCGCTCGCTTCCGCCGCCGCCGGCGCACGTGACCGGAAACGGGCCGCGGCGGCGGCGGCATGGCGGCGGAGGGCGATGTGGAGCTGGAGCTGGAGACGGAGCCGAACGGCTCCGGCGGAGGCAGCGATGGGGCGGGCGGCCGCGCGGCCGAGAAGCCGCGGAAGCACGATAGCGGCGCGGCGGACCTGGAGCGAGTCACGGACTACGCGGAGGAGAAGGAGATCCAGAGCTCCAACCTGGAGACGGTGCGGCGGCGGGACGGGACCGGGCCAGGGTGGGAGGCCGGGCGCTGCCTGCAGCGGGGCCGAGCCGGGCGCTGACCGCCGGTGCTGATGCCCGTGCCGCCGGCGCGGAGCTGACCCGGTCGGTGCCGCACAGCGGGGTGACCGCGCTCGTTCTGGCAGGCTATGTCGGTGATCGGAGACCGGAGGTCCCGGGAGCAGAAAGCCAAGCAGGAGAGGTAACCGTCCGCGCTCGCTCCGGGATAGTGCCTGTCTTGCAACTTGTCATCACTCGGGACACGACCCAGGCATCTGCTTCCCTGTGTGACATCCCGGCCCTTCCCTGGCCCCCTCTCCCTGTCCCACAGTGCTGCGAGGCGTCGCTGCTGCCGAGGGAGCACCGGGGCAGTGGCCAGCGGGGGCTGTTGGTCACCAGAGGTTTGTCCATCTCTTGTCCTAGGGAGAAAGAACTGGCAAAAGTGACCATCAAGAAGGAGGATCTAGAGCTGATTGTGAGTAGGGGCGGGACCCCAAGCAGGCTTTGACATGTCCCAAATCTTGGGTGCGAAACTGCACCCATGGAGGCGTGCCTGCTCTGAGGCCGGTCCAGTGTCCCCATGGGTGGGTGTCCCCCACTGCCCCCCGCCCAGCCCGCGGGGCCCTGCGGATGCTGTACGGGGCTGTGGCTGTTTTTCTGCAGATGACGGAGATGGAAATATCACGGGCGGCAGCGGAGCGCAGCCTGCGCGAGCACATGGGCAACGTGGTGGAGGCTCTCATCACCCTCACCAACTGAGCTCGGAGGCCACGGGCTGCCAGGCATGGGCCTCTTGCCATACCAATAAAGGCACTGCTGGGACTGGGCTGTCTTTGTGGTCTGCACAATGCTGAGCACATGCCCCTGGCCTTGAATGCACAGTGGGGCCCAGCCATGTGGCAGTGTGTTGGCAGTGCCAGCTGGGCACCCCTTTGACTGGAACAGGACAAAGTGACCTGCCTGAGCACTGAAACATGCTGCTCTCCTGGGGCAGCACAGGCTGGACAGCCCAGGCACAGGCCTGAGGCAGTGATGACAGCTGATCATGCATGCCCTGCCCAGGCTGGTGCCTCCTGTGCTGCCCCAGCTCACCATGGCTCACAAGGAAGGCACAGAACAGGATGGCCATGTCTTTGAGAAGAATGGAGTCAGAGTGTGTAAGAAAATCGAATCTTTAATGAAACCCTCCCATCCCACACAGGTAGAAAAGCCAAGTCCTGCAGGACCGCGGTGAGGAGATAGGGCCAGCTCAGACCACCCTAAAACAGGGCTCAGACTGACACCAGGGACAGTACAAGCAAGGGATTGTGGATGAGATGGCTGCAAAAGTCCGGTAATTCTTCCAGAAGTGGATGTGCTGGAGCCAGGGGTGCTGCTGCAATGTGCCAGGCACTGACAAAGTTCCAAAGTGGCCATTGCTGGAATATAGTGTGGCCACCAGCCTGGCCAGCACCACAGGCCATCATCCTCCACATTGTGTGGGCAAGGAACCCATCGGGTCTGCTCAGCACAGGGAGTGGGACACCTCATCAGGGTAGGCGTGGTACAGGCAGGGGAAGGGCTTGCCACCACAGGAGTCCTGGAACTTGTCCTTTCTGGCCCTGCCCAGGCTCTGGCAGCTGGCAGAGCAGTGTCCTCCTGCCAGCATCAGCCACACCAGACCCTCCTGCGTCTGCCCTTAGGTCGTTTTTCGTTTCTTGGCCGAGGGTCTCTCAAAGACGTCCCGCACCCCCGCTGCCTTCTGCTTAAAGAATTTGGTGTTCTGTGCACTCTCCTGGCCCCAGGCAGAGTCAAAGGAGGTGGTGTCCTGGTCCACCAAGTGTGTGTACTTCGTCCTCCCCGAGCGCCCGAAGTTCTTGACCTGGGGAGCAGAAGAACTTGTGAGCAGCTGTTCAGGGGGGATCAGGACCTGCTGCACCCCCCTGCCCAGAACTCCCACCCCTTGGCATAAGGGCTGGGCACCCTCTGCCAGCACACCCACCTGCATGACTTTGGGCAGGATGGTCTTGTTGAAGTGGTCCTCAAGGGTCGGAGCACTGAAGTCCCTCTTGTACACCTCCTCATCCTCATCCTGCAGGAGGACACACATGCTCAGCCTTAAACGTTCCAGTAAGTCTTGGCAGCAGTGGGGGGAAGCTGCCTGAAGGTCATATTTCTGCTCTGCCAGCGCTGCCATAGTACTTGCAGCCCTATTAATTCCTGCTGAAGCGAGGGATGTGAGCATTGTTCCCGAGGCTGCTTCTCCAACGACCCATGCAGAGCTGACTTGGTTCTGGCTGGTCTGTCAGCCCAAACAGCAGCACAGGGACAGCTCTGCAGCTTCAGCTCCATTTCAGCTGGGAACCCCCAACCTGACATGCTCTGGTGAGGTCACTCTGGGTCACCTTCAGCCCCATGCTGCCTCTGAAGGTTGGCTCTTGTCCCAGGGCACCCCCAGCCCCAGGGTACTGTGGGAGAGGGGAGGCTCCCCACGGGGAAAAGGTGGCCCTGCAGTCTCACACCTGCAGCCAGTGCAGCCATGCCTGGCCCCCAGCACACTCACCATGAAGAAGGCGCCACGGTGGTAGTACTTCTGCAGGAATTTGTATTTGCCCTTTACTGCCTTGTTGGTGATGACTTTGCCATTGGCCCGGAGCTCAGCCCGGCGCTCCTCCTCTGTCAGGTTCCGCATACGCTCGATCTCTGCCTTCTCCTTCTCCATGCTGGGTGGGAGAGAAGCCCCTGAGACTCTGTGTCCCCACAGCACCCCCTGGGAGAGAGGCTGTCACCAGTACCACCTCCGTTTACACGTTTACTGCTGGGGAGCAAAGGCACCCCAAGGGCGGGCAGGAGGGGCTCTGGGCATTCAGTCCAGCTGGGACCCTGCTGCCAAAGGGCAGCCTGGGGAAAAGGTGCTTCAACTGCCTGGCGGCTCTCAGCCTCCTGTCTACCAGACAATACTTACGCTTCTCGTTCTTCGCGGTCTCGTTTGATACGCTTCAGCTCACGGACTTTCCAGGCCTCGTACTCCTCCTCATCGTTCTCATCATCTGTATCGAGTGCATCCAGCGCTGCCAGCGAGCGCTTGTTCTCCTCCAGCTCCTTCTTTGCTTCCTCTTCTACAATCTGCAGTGAGGGCAAAGCTAAGCTTGCTACAGTGACTGCCCCCTCCGGCCTCCAGCCCACCCCTCCGCACCTTAAGCGTGTACTTGCGCCTCTCCTCTGCCATCCTCTTTGCCTCCTGCTCCAGCTCCTTCTGCTTCAGGGCTTCTGCTTCTCTCTCCTGAACTGTGATCCGGTCCTTCCTGAGAGCAGGGCCATGACAGCCTTCAGCCCTCCAATGAGCCAGTGCAGCCGCTCAGCCCTCCCTGGCTCCCACACTGCAGCTGCTTTCAGCCTTTGCCCTCTCCAAGGACAGGTCAAACCCTGGGGCTCTCCCTTTTCTGGGAACTACCACGTTTCTTTGTCACCGTATGGCCCCTGCCCAAGGACTGTGGTCAGACTCCACAGCCTGATCCCACAGCAACCCAGTGCAACTGATATGGGGATGTGGATGCAGGGATTGCCCCTTGCTCCCTAGCTGTGCCCTGTCAGGCTGTGATTATCTCATCCCGCCCAAAGGAGGTGAATGGCTTCCTCACAGTGAGAAGAGACCATGGCAGCAAGGCCTTCTTAGGCCCCAGCTTCTGACTACC